TCCATGAAGGATCATGCATCCTATTGAGGTGCGAGAATAAAAAAATTTTCCTCCATCTAAAAGGCCCAAGATCATGATGTTAAATCAACTAACTATATATACATGAATTAAAATAATGAATAAAGAATTACCTCTTATAGCACGGATCTAAATTCTTTAGCAGAAAAGTCGTCTAAGTATCCGACCTCTATTGATGATCCACGCAGTCCAAGCACCCATAAAAAAACACTCAAAATTAGTAGATTGCTAGCTTCACCTTTTTTGATTTGTATAGTGTTTCTTATAGAAATCTAATTTGGGGAAGTTTGCAATAATCCAAAGAGAAGAGAGAGGAGGTGGCGTGTTAGGGTTAGGGAGAAAACAATTTTCTCCTTATTATTATTTCAACTAAGTGTTCCCTTTTTATTTTCTAAGTGTGCTGAATTTTATCTCTGTTAAAAACTTCTCTTTATCCCATGGCTTTCCTCCTATTTATAGGGGAGAGTTTCCTTGTCCTCCAAGAACAAGGAGAAGGGCGGCAAATAAGTCCTAATTGAACTTATGGTTATTACTTCCTAATCCTCTAAGGATTAGGAGTTATTTTATAGGTGAGCTTTTGATCTTTATTTTTAAAACATTCATCCTTATCCAATAAGATTGATATTTATCCTTAAAATATTCATCCTTATCCAATAAGGTTGATGTTTATCTTCTTACTCGAAATATCTTAAGGCTTATAATTAAACCTCATTAGGCTAAAACCATTTTGGCCCATTTAATTTATTTGGACTATCCAAAAAAATAATCTTAGATAATTTTAAATGGCCCACATTAGGAAACAATTTTCTAAAATACCCTTTAACTTAAATTAGGAAATTCATTTTCATTTTAGGTTATTTACTTCCAAATTAGGAAACTAATTTTTTAAATAAAAAACTTTCCATTTTAGGAAATTTTTTATTTAAGGAAACTTTTCATTTTAGGAAACTTTCCATTTTAGAGACTTTTTTCAAAATAAAAAACTTTTAGAATTGAAATTTTTTTTCAATATCATTGCTTTTTTATAATCATGTAAATGCTTAAATTTATGCATGTGACTCAATAGGCTTCTATATATGTTAGCAATGTATCAAGAACAAAAGACTCCTCATTTATCTCTTGATACATAAATCAAGATTGACATCTAGCAAGATACCATGACTATCCAATTATTTAAGATGATTAATTAATCCTTTATTATCTTTCACGAGCATGGTTGCCATACAATTTAGTCCTTATGTCAACTTATCATAGTATGATCTCGAACTTGGTTATAAGTCTTATTCGATTATGATCACATAAGTTTTCTTCGATTCTCAAATATTTTAGCTCTTAGAATACACCAACTATGCTTTATTGGTATACTCCTGCTATGGTCATAGATCTCGAACATGCTTCTTCTTTTTTTTTTTTTTTTTTTTTGAGGCCCGTAAGGCCTTTTTATTATAATTAATCCTATTTATCTCTACTATAAATATGAATACTATCTTTTTGTATTTTTAGTTGATTGAAAAAAAACTAATTAGAACTTTTAGTGCAGCCATGGAGGAGACATATTGTCGAACCTCGTAAATCTTGTGTCATATGAATGTTATTGTTTTTTTATTTTATTTTTTCTTGATTTTTTTCTCAATAGTCACCTCACAAACTAACGATAATATAATAAAAACTAATTAAAAAAATAAAGTGAAGAGTATAGAGATTCAACCAATAAAAATAAAATGTATAAGATCTGAATCAAAACAATTTAAAAGGTTAAAACTCATTAATTATTTGCATGCTCTTCTCAATCAGTCACGGAGAATAGCTTCATTCATATTTTGTCCAGGGCCGAAACAATTGCCCGAGAATATTACAACATCTCACAATTCTGTGATTTGATGAAAAAAAAAAACTGGTAATGTGACCGTTATTTGCCTGCCAATCACAAAAGACATTTCATGTCACTCTCGATCTTTATTCTTGACATAATAAGATGCTATCATTTGGTTCCTTTGCTGGACGAGGTTTGATTGATTAATTCATGTTGTCCCGCATTTGGATCGACCATGCATGCTACAAAGATATAGGACAATATTCAAGAGCCTTTTCCACATTGTATATCCTTTTATATAGATTCTGGTTTCATGAAATGGCCAGAAAACGATGTACTTGTGTGACTTGGCTCTAGTAAAAGGTGCTTTGCGTGCATGGGGAATTAAAGTCAAGATATTCATTTAAAATAAGATATGCGCCATGCAAACAATGCATAATGTAGACAAAAATATCTACTCCCAAATATCATTTCAATGGTACAAGGACTCTAAAGTCACCAATAAATAAATAAATAAATAAATAAAATTAAAACCACCAATTAATTCTATCCAGCTCATGAAAATTTGCACAATCAATTCAACTTCTATCTAGAATCAATCAAAAATCAATTACAGTAGATAGAATCAAACAACATATAAATCCAGTCCGCGTAGAAAGCAAGAGCAGATTCTCTTGATTAGTTCATCAGAAGATAATAAAATCACCATTTTATGGAAGAAGGGGACGAGACAAGAGAAGAAAGGAAATGGTCAATAACAAGGGGTGGATTTGTGGAATAGCTAAAGAAGGTAAGCTATATAGCTACACCAATGGTGGTTTTTTCCGTGTTGCAGTACCTATTACAAGTTGTGTCTGTGATAATTGTTGGACACCTTGGTCAGCTCGCCCTCTCTGGGGTTACCATTGCCACCTCTATCACCAATGTCTCTGGATTTAGCCTCCTTGTAAGTCTTCCAATTCTCTTCTTGCATTATTCTACTCTTTCCTCAAAACATTCTCTTTCTACATATTAGTGCCACAGAAAATAATGTTTTGCAATATTACTATGCTATTCAATTATCAAAGTTTAATTAATTTATAAGCCAACAACCAACTATAAGAGCATTAATTGTGCATTGAGTAGGAGAAGTTTTTTTTTTTTTTCCTTCTTCTTTATGTAAAGTTATGCTACTTTCTCTCTTCACTGTGTTTGGGGAGAGATTGGGAGAGGAGAAAAGGAAGTGTAGGTAAAATTGCAATTCATGAATGTCATTTTCCATCATTAATTGGGAGGAAAAAAACGAAAGAGAAAAGGGGATTGAAAAGCAATATTCGCTGCAAGCATGATATTAATTTATATATATTATGCTCATAAAAAAAATAGAAGAAAAATAGTTACAACATAAAAATTGACAGAAGTTAATGAAAGAAAATTATATTCTATTTTTTTTTTATTAAATGAAAACTAGCCCAAAAAGTTGTTATTGTTTATTTAGAAATTAAAAAGGAAAAAGAGACAAAAAAATGTCAAATTGTAATCTTAATCCATTTTTTTCTTTTTTGATTGTTGATATTTGTTGGTATTGAGTTTCAAAACTTGAACAAGAAATAGCCTAATTGTCACAAGACCGAGCGATGTCAGAGCCCATAAATTTCTTAATAAATCTCCAAGAGTTAAAGCAAGCTCTCTTTAAAACGAAATTACTACAACGAGCAGCCATGTGCTGTTCTGCAGCTATATCTCCTTTTCAAGGATCCCATCAGTTACAAACTGCAAGCAATATGCAAGAAAGCTGCACATCATTTTTTTTTAACGTTGATAATGAAAATCAATTTTAATTCATGATTTGATTTGGGAAGGAAAGAACAAACACAAATTGTAAATACAGCATTTATAAAACAAAACTACTAAACTAGTAACATTGTCAGTGGTAGAGCCTGATATTTAGTTTTGCAGGGGCGGGGATCAACAATATTATAATGGTAAAACATAAAATTTTAAATAATATTATATATAGAACAAAAAAATTGCACCATAATGATGTAATTTCAGTGTTTAAATAAATTAAATATACGAACAAAAAAATTTGCTTTATCAAATTTGACGGATTAACATTATCATTATGACTTTTTTTCTTTTTTGCTATCAAGCATTCTTACTTCAAGAATTTCAAATAGCAGATTTTTTTTTAAGCCTTCAAATTAATTAGAAAATCAGTTAATAAACATCAGTTTGGAGTTCATTTTCTTTTTGTGAAAAGACTTTATTTTTGTCTTAACATATTACCGATTCTCAATTTCACCCTAAGAAATTATGTTTTTTTTTTTAATTTCATGATGTATCAAAATATTTCTCAATTGGGTGTTCAGTACAAAATCTTCACATTCTATATTTAGCAGAAAATGACAAAACCACCTGGCACCATTTTATTCCATAAAATAACATAAAAATATGAGACATTGATAAAGGACTCAATTGGGAACTTTGAATGTTAATTTGATTTGTTGTTTTGTATAAGCTTAATCACTTGGATCCAATTTACTAATTAAAATTCTATGCATATATATAGAAGAAGAAGAAAAGAAATACAATTATACGTTATCTTTGGGAAATGTAACTTATTATGGTGGCCCCCATATAGATAGATATACGCTGTTTCTTAAGGATTTGGTTGCCTGCTTGTTCTGTGTCTCATTTATTGGAAATAAAGACCTTATTCCTAAAAAAAGAAAAAAGCTATTATTATCATACTAATTGGGTTGAGCTAGCTAGGAAGTTTGAAAATATCCCATATAAAACTTCAAATATTATTAGCTGCCAGATAGGAATTTCCATTATAAAAAGTGCAAGAAAAAGATATATTTAGATACGCCAAATCAATGATCCTGATATTTATATTAGGCCGAAATCTGTGTCTTTACACAAAACATGACAAAAACACGAAACTAATGAGCAGTCCATGCACGAAAATCACTAGTTGCAAGTCAACAGTCATTCTTAATTAATTAGTCATATTTTAGTACCAAACAAAATACTATTAATCAAGTCTAAAAACCAAACAACATAGTCATCCAGTCCCCATTGATCGAGCAGTGTCTTTTCATTTGTTCTACGTACATAAGGCCACTCCTGTTGTGAGTTCTAGGAGGAAAAGAAAAAGAAAAAAGCTTTCACTTGTTGAGAAGTTATGGAAGAAGAGGGAAAGAGGGAATTAGAGAGAAAATGGGCAATCACATGGGAAGGATTTGTTCAAGAGCTAAAGAAAGCTGGCTATATAGCAGCACCAATGGTGGCTGTGTCAGTTTTGCAGTATCTCCTACAAGTTGTGTCTGTGATAATTGTAGGACACCTTGGTGCACTTGCCCTCTCCAGTGTTGCCATTGCCACTTCTATTACCAATGTTACAGGGTTTAGCCTTCTTGTGAGTTTTCTAGTTCTCTCGATCCTTTTTTTTTTTTTTTTTCATAAAGAAGTGTTTTATATTTCTTCTTGCATCTTTCAACAAAAAATGTTTATAATATTTTTTCCCTGCACTAGCTCGCATCATTATTTTTTTCAACTCAGAAAAGTTACTCTCTCTTCCGTTAGGGAGAGGAAGAGACAGTAAGTCGGCGGGGAAGATAGTTTTCTTTCAGAATCCTTTTCATAGAGTAAGGTAATTTAGTCACTCTAGTTTTTGAAAATTTTAAAATTAATTAATTAATCCTTAACCAATACTGAATATGCTTAATTTAATATTATTTTATTTTAAAAAAATTTCTTGTTTTCTTTTCAAATTTTTTATATTATTTACTTATTTTTCAGTTTTTTTATTTGATAAAGAAAACAAATTAAATTGAAAAAAGAAAAAAGAAATGGATTAAGTTACAAATAAAATTAGAAATATATAAACTGATTAATTAGATTTTAAAAATAATAGAAATATTTAATTTTTTTTGGCAAAACTAAAGAAATTAAATTATAATTTACTCATTTTTCATCTCTCCTGTCATTGGAGACATGATATGCGAGTAAAAAACCAAACAAACGTTTAACGCCCTTGTCTAGTTATGGAAAACGACGTGATGACCCACAAATTTTACGTTTCTTGTCAGAAATCATAAATTTATACATTTTTCTTTCCATCAAAGCAAAAGAAATTTTTTTTTCTATCATTTTTCTTTGTCTAATTTCAATTTCTGTAATGTTATTGTTCCCTCATGTTAGTGAGTATGCTTACAATGTATAGTACTTGTGGATGACAATAAGTATATATCCATAAGTTAGGTTTATTGGATGAATTTTTTTATAGATATTTATATTAGATATATTAGTTTTTGAGTATTGACTATGATATCTATTATCTAGTACTATTTATTATTTAATATAAACTAAAAAAAAATATAAATAGACGAGGTAGGCATATATAAAATAACGACTAAATTATATATATTTGCGCATGTGCATGTGCATGTGTACGCAGGGTTTTTAGATTGAATTGGAAAATATTCATATCCAGTTTATCATCCTATGAATAAAATTTTTATATATCGATAGGAATCAATTCATATAAATATTCATGGAGTTAAGGTTAAATTGTCAACTAAGATAATACTCCGTCTACCCCATCTCTTTTGCTTTTTAATAGAATTAAAGTTAACGAAATTAGCAAGTAGATGATCTGGTTTTGTTAATTCCAAGAAGTAGACTTCAACTTAATGAGAAAAAAAAAAAAACCCGACATCAAAATACCCTTCATCGCAAAAGGGGATACATCGGGGTCTATGCCCCATGTAGCAAGTTAAAAATTAAAAAAAAAAGTGCAAAGATGGAAGATTACAAAAGTTGTTTGTTTGTTGTTTTTAGAATGAAATTTATTAACAATGATGCATGACGCAAGTGGGTTATTGGGGATTTTCAAAAAGTATAGTTAATAAACATATCTTCACTGTATTTGGATTTTTGTAACCCTCCTTCAGCCCCGAATTAAGAAATCTATAGACCTCATCTTTGGACTTGCATGTTGACCACCCTCATCCCGTAAATGCACCAACCTTGTCCATTCGAACATGAAATTTTCAGTTCAAGTCCTCAAATTTTTTTCTAGTCTAATGATATGATCAACTTAGAAACTTACCTACCTCTTTTTATTCTTTGTTATTACTAGTATAATTATCTTGCCACATTACATACCTTTTCGTTTTTGGCAAAGGCCCTCGTCCCTTTCTTTGTATCAATTGTTTAATTTCATCCCAGTATTTAAAAAACTATTCAATTAATACCCTTTGTTGTTCAATTTCGTCTGTAACTTTGATAAGATTGTACCATCATGTTAGTTGATGTGGCCTTAATTCATGTCAGCATTCTAATAGAAAACTATGACACCAATTTTGAATTGAATAAAAATCAAACAAATTTGGAGGATAGGGGGCAAGTAATGTGTGAACTATATCCTTAAAGAACGAGGTTTCTATTTATTATTACCATGTTAGGATGCCATCAATAAATAAAAATGACAATTTCAACGTTTTTTTTATTAAGCTTTTTCTTTCTTTCTTTATTTTTTTTCAAAATTATACTTGTGTTATCTAGCAGAAATTTACCCAAGTTTGTAATTGCCAAACAGTCGGGAATGGCTGGTGGACTGGAAACTCTATGTGGGCAAGCATATGGAGCTAAACAATATCAAAAGCTTGGAACTTACACTTACAGTTCAATCATCTCTCTAATAATTATGTGCCCTCCAATTTGTGTCCTGTGGATCTTCATGGGCAAACTACTACCTCTAGTAGGCCAAGACACTTCAATCTCAGAAGAAGCTTGCAAGTACTCGATGTGGCTAATCCCAGCACTATTTGGGGGTGCAGTCCTTAAACCTCTGACTAGATTCCTCCAGACACAAAGTGTGATTCTACCAATGCTCATAACCTCATTTTCCATCCTATGTTTTCACACCATCACATGCTGGACTCTTGTGTATAAACTGCAATTAGGACAAAAGGGTGCAGCTATAGCCTTCAGTTTATCAACTTGGTTGAATGTGGTATTGCTTGGCCTTTATGTAAAGTTCTCTTCTTCATGTGAGAAAACCAGAGCTCCATTGACAAGAGAAGCCTTTTATGGTATCGGAGAATTCTTCCGGCTTGGTGTCCCTTCTGCTGTTATGGTTTGGTAAAAATTTTCCCTTATTTTTCCTATCATGAAAATGCTAGTTTTGTTTTTGTTCTGTTTTCTGTTTTCTTTTCCCAACTTTAATACTATTGTGTTAACATAACAGTCTTAAATGGTGGTCCTTGGAGTTGCTAACTTTGCTTTCAGGCCTTTTCAAAAATCCAAAATTGGAGACTTCCGTGCTTTCTATATGGTATGCTTAATATGTATTTCTGTACCTATCCATATATTGACAAATTCAAGATTTAATTTTAGTGATTGAATATTATTAAGATTATAGTTTCTAATGAGCTTTTATTTTTCTTGATTAGCCTCACAATCTCTACGTTGCACTTTACTGTACCTTACGGATTTGGAGTTGCTGCAAGGTATATTAACCTTCTCTTATGGAAACCATATCTTTTAATTTAAAATAATGTATAGAATTTATGAGTAAAAAAGTACAACTTATGGCCTTCCTGTAGCACCCGGGTTTCGAATGAACTTGGAGCTGGGAACCCTCAATTAGCTAGAATCGCAGTTCTGGTTGCATTGTTTCTTGCTGGCTCAGAGTCAGTCATTGTGAGCTCAGGACTCTTCCTTTCCCGGCAAGTTTTGGGATATGCTTACAGCAACGACTGGCAGGTTGTGCATTATATTTCAGCCATGACTCCTCTGATTTGTCTCTCGGTCATTATGGACAGCTTACAAGCTGTCCTTTCTGGTTAGTTTCTTTGCCCTGCTTCATCATCATCATTATTATTTGATTAATAAGCAAGAGCAGCCTTGGAATATTTTTCGTACTCTCTAATTACATAGAAAATTTTTAAAAATAGTAGAGTCGAGTATGGATTCGTCAATCCTTTGCTAATTTTTTAAAGGGTATGTCCTTCGCATCAGGTGTTGCTAGAGGATGTGGATGGCAGCATATAGGAGCTTATATCAATCTGGGTGCATTTTATCTGGTTGGGCTTCCAGTGGCTGGTGTACTTGGTTTTGTAGCTCATTTAAGAGGAAAAGGCCTTTGGATTGGAATTGTAGCTGGGTCCTTAGTGCAATCATTTCTTCTTTCTATCATTACAGCCTTTACAGATTGGAATAAACAGGTACTTAGTCCAACCTTCCCTGTCTTTACTTGAACTTTTTCCCCAATTTTTTCTTTGTTCTGTTCTATCATAGACTTCCATCAAGTGCAACAACAAATTTATGTCCTTGTGTGCTTACAGGTAACCGAGGCAAGGGCAAGGGTATGTGAGAGAAGATCTTCGGTCGAGAATGAGGAAAATTAAATTATATGAATGTATATTTTTTAGAAATTTTTGTAGCATGACCCTTTGATAGCATTAAAGAAAACAAATTCTAGTTGAAATCAAATTCCATGACTGTCAATTTCTAGTTGTACTTCATTGTCAGTTTATAGATCCTGCTCCATGTTATGAGCTAAGGTTTAGAATGTCTGTGGTCTTAAATCTTTGTTGAGTAAATTATAAATTAGTCCCTCTTTTTTTAGAAACAAATGAATTAGTTCACTAGTTTCAAAAACTAATTATTCAGTCATTTAACTAGTGTTTATCATATTTAATTTAATATTTAGGTATGCCAAATATTCAATTTGCATAACCTTAAAATTTCCCATTTTAATTATTTTATAATTTTATGTTATTTTATTTTATTTTCAATTTTATAGTATTTATAGTCCATGAATTTTATTAATTGTTTTATTATTGCTATTAATATTGTTTTATCATTAAAGTTTAATTATATTTATCATTCTAAAATAAAAAATTGAAAATGACACTACAAGAAAATGGGCAATTAGTGACGGATACTATTCCGTTTTTAATAGTTGGAGACAAATTAACAACGGATTAGCGACATAATAGAAAAAGGAATTTTTTTCGAGTAAATAGCGATGGAATAGCAAGGAAAATTCAACAACAGAATAAAAACCATCGCTAAATAACATGATTAAAAAAACACCACATTTAGCAACGATTTCCATCGTTGATTTAGCAATGGAAGGGAATTTTGTCAATAAATTGTGAGAGATAGGTTCCATCGTTAAATAAAAAACAATTGGGGAATATAGCGGTTAACATTGAAATTCAAATCAGCGACGGAATAAGATTTCGTTGCTAATTTGAATTTTAAATAGCGACGGATTACCAAATCCGTCCCTAATTGGGCAACTTTCCCAAAAATTTCGGAGGCTTCGACATCCATTTGGAATTTAAAATTAGATGCGGAGACTTATTTCGGTTGCTAATTAGCAACGGATAAATGACGAAAACATATATCTCACTAAAAAAAAAAAAACCCCTATAACTAGACAGATTCTCTTCTTCTTCTTCATTCAGACATCCCCTCTCCTTCACAAAACCAGCTGCCGCCCCCAAAACCACCTCCCCACGTCACCCCATGCTAGCCATTGCCTCCTTAGACTATTTGACTCGGTGAGATGCATCTTTCTCCCTCAAACTCCTAAGCAGTCTCTCCTCTCTCTTGTTGATCTCTTTGGTAATTATTTTTCTCTCTAACTCTTTTGATTTTTTTTTTGTTAAATTAAATTAATGTTATAAGTTTTTATGTTAATTTTATTATTTATTAGTTGATTAATTGTTTGTTTAATTTTATTATTTATCAGTTTAATTTTTTAAATAATTGTTTGAATGTTGTTAAATTTCATTGTTAGGTTAATTTTTAATTATATTAATTTGTATGTTAATTATTAGTGTAAATTTGTTAATTATTTATTTAATTTATTTAATTGTTAGATTATTTTTGTTAACTATTACTTTTTAATTATGTTAATTTTTAGATTAAATTTTATATATGAAATTTTTTATGTAGTCTAGTTAAGGTTGATTAATTATTAATCTATTTGTTATTAATTGTTAGGTTAAAATTTAGTTATTTAATTGTTAATTGTTATTTAAATTTTTTAATTAATTAATTGTGTTAATTATTATTTGAATTTTATTAATTGTTTGTTTTAAGTTAATTTTTAATTATATAATTTTTTAGGTAATTTAGTTAAATTTTGTTGATTATTTCTTAAGTTATTTTTAATTAATTGGTTGATTAATTTTTTTAAATTTATTGTTAATTTGTTATTTTTTTTCGTTTGAATTAGTTACTAGCTTAATATTTTAAATTTTTTGTTGTTGTTTTTAAATTCATATAATATTTAAATTCGAATTAATGTAATTAGTTAAGATTAATTTAATATAATTAATTTGATTTATGTTTAGTTTGAATATAAATGCTAGGAGTAATTGATATAGCTTAATTATTAAAAATTAAAAAAAACAACATGCATAATGATTTAATCGTTCGGGAAATAAAAAAATTAGAATAAAGATGTAACCGGGAAAAAAAGAAAAAGAAATCGTTCTTTAGTTAAAGATTTAATTGAAATCGTTCTTTTATCAGAATCTTATAACTAAAGAAAACAAATTCTAGTTGAAATCAAATTCCATAACTGTCGATTTCTAGTTGTACTTCATTGTCAGTTTATGGATCCCGCTCCATAAAAATATCTCGTATTTTTAGAATGTCTGCGGTCTTAAATCTTTGTTGAGTAAATTATAAATTAGTCCCTCTTTTTTTAGAAACAAATGAATTAGTTTACTAATTTCAAAAACTAATTATTTAGTCATTTAACTAGTGTTTATCATGTTTAAGTTAATACTTAGATATGCCAAATATTCAATTTTCATAACCTTAAAATTTCCCATTTTTATTATTTTATGTTATTTTATTTTATTTTTAATTTTATAGTATTTGTAGTCCATGAATTTTAATAATTGTTTTATTATTAATATTAATATTGTTTTATCATTAAAGTTTAATTATATTTATCATTCTAAAATGAAAAATTGAAAATGACACTACAAGAAAATGGACAATTAGCGATGGATACTATTCCATCTTTAATAATGGGAGACAAATTAACGATAGATTAGCGACGGAATATAAAAAAGAAATTTTTGCAAGTAAATAGCAATGGAATAGTAAGGGAAATTCAACAATGGAATAAAAACCATCGCTAAAAAAACGTGATTAAAAAAAAGCATCACATTTAGCTACGGATTTACGTCGTTGATTTAGCGATGGAAAGGAAATTCATCGGTAAATTGCGAGAGATAGGTTCCGTCCCTAAATAAAAAATGGTTGGGGAATATAAGGGTTAAAATTGAAATTCAAATTAGCAACGGAATAAGATTTCGTCGCTAATTTGAATTTTAAATAGCGATGGATTACCAAATCCATCGCTAATTGGGCAACTTTTTCAAAAATTTCGGAGACTTCGATGCCCGTTTGGAATTCAAATTAGATACGGACACTTATTTTAGTCGCTAATTAACAACGGATTAGCGACGAAAACATGTCCGTCGCTAAAAAAAAAAAAAAACCTATAAATGGACATATTCTCTTCTTCTTCTTCATTCGGACTTCCCCTCTCCTCCACAAACTATTTAACTCGGTGAAGAACATCTTTCTCCCTCAAAATCCTATGCAATCTCTCCTCTCTCTCGTTGATCTCTTTCATAATTATTTCTCTCTCTAACTCTTTTTTTTTTTAAATTAAATTAATGTTATAAGTTTTTATGTTAATTTTATTATTTGTTAGTTGATTAATTGTTTGTTTAATTTTCTTATTTATCATTTTAATTTTTTTAATAATTGTTTGAATGTTGTTAAATTTTATTGTTAGGTTAATTTTTAATTATGCTAATTTGTATGTTAAGTATTAGTGTAAATTTGTTAATTATTTATTTAATTTTGTTAATTGTTAGATTATTTTTGTTAACTCGTTACCTTTTAATTATGTTAATTTTTATATTAAATTTTATTTAAGCAATTTTTTTATGTAATTTAGTTAAGGTTGATTAATTGTTAATTTATTTGTTATTAATTGTTAGGTTAAAATTTAGTTATTTAATTGTCAATTGTTATTTTAAATTTGTTAATTAATTAATTGTGTTAATTATTAGTTGAATTTTGTTAATAGTTTGTTTTAAGTTAATTTTTAATTATATAATTTTTTAGGTAATTTAGTTAAATTTTGTTGATTATTTCTTAAGTTATTTTTAATTAATGGGTTGATTAAATTTTTTTAATTTATTTTTAATTTGTTATGTTGTTTTTTGTTTGAATTAGTTCCTAGCTTAATGTTTTTAATTTGTTTTCTGTTATTTTTAAATTTATATAATATTTAAATTCAGATTAATGTAATTAGTTAAGATTAATTTAATGTAATTAATTTGATTTATGTTTAGTTTGAATATAAATGCTAGGAGTAATTGTTATAGCTTAATTATTAAAAATTAAGAAAATCAACATAATGATTTAATCGTTCGGGAAATAAAAAAATTGGAATAAAGATGTTATTGGAAAAAAAATTGAAATCATTCTTTTATTAGAATCTTATAACTAAAGATTTAATCAGAAATAAAACATCATAATTTTGATATACAAATATTAACCTGATTGCAATAAGATTAAAATTTATAAACATTTTATTTAGGATTAATTTAATTACATTTACTTGAATTTATTATTAAACTAATTAGGAAAATTTAATAAGCATAAATGTTTTTAGCTTCAATATATATAACTTTTCATTAATTATTAGAATTTTTAAATTTTAATTTATTTAATTTAAAATATTTTAAATTATGAAATATAATATTATTTTTTGGAGGGTTCTTTTATTAGAGAAAATAAAATTTAATGAAAGTGTTTAAATGGTAAATATAATTTTAAAATGCCTTATTATGAAAAAAAAATTCTTAAATTAGCGTGCACAAGTTTTGGTTTAGAATTGAACGAGAAAGTATATTTTTTTTTAACAAACTTTGGAAACTGTTTTTATTGACCATTTCTTTTCCTTCGTTTTCCCCTTTTGCAGGACAAAAGGCTTTAGAAAAACCTGGTGAAGTCCTTTTTTTCCTATAAAAATATACAGTAATTTTATTAAATATTAAATTGATATAAAATAAATTATTCTCTTAATATTTGTTACAAGAAAAAAAAATATAACAAAAACCTTTAAAATTTTGATGAATCATTATTTTTCTGAAAATATCTGATCTTTTTATGAAAAAAATTAAAAATTTTTAAATTTTCAAACTAAAAATTTTGTAAATTAATTTTTTTTCCAAATCACATATGCGGAAAAATCTTAATAATGGAATACCAATAGAAAAATTTGAATTAAATGTATTGAAAAGGACACGTGTGAAATTTAATATTAACGGTCGTACGTGTATAACGTATATCACAA